TATACACTTGCTATGCAACAATTTGGAACAGTTTAATGATGTAGTACAATAATGTTGATTTTACTAATTTATTTTTTATTAAAAGAAAATATAAAGTTTTAATTTTAAAAATAAAAAACATTGAATCAGAATGGTGCTAAATCGTCTTCATTAGGAAGAAGTGGGTCTGTTTCTTGGTCTTCTAAATGAGTCTTATTGCTTTTTGTTATCCAATAAAGACAAAATAGAAGAGACTCGATGAATAATATAAGTAATAAGAAAATAATTGACATATAACCTAATGACTTCAAACCAATTCCAACTGCTTTATAACAATTTCTTCCTCTAGGTGTTGTAACATTACAGTCATAATAATGATTCCACCCACAACATTTGAACTGAAAACATGAACATCATCAACATCATAAAAATTTTATAAAAAAGATAAAACAAACATTAAGTTCAACTGAATGTAATTGAAGAGATTGGTCATTAACTTTTTTTACATTATAAATTAATCTAATAGAAGTAATTATTAAGACAATAGTAAATAATACTGTGAAACATTCTAACAAAATAGAAAATTTCTTTGGATAAGTGTCACTCATAAAATATCCAGAAATTACTCCAATAATTCCAGTAATAATAAATGAAAATCCAACAGAAATAAGTCTTATTCCAATAAAGTCTTGTTTCATATATTTAATAGAAGTAATAAGTCCAATTAATAAGAATAATAAACTCATAACAATTTGTGATATACATAAAATTTTCTTTGATTGATTTTTGTTCATTAAATTAATATTAAAGTTTTTTTTTTAGATACTTTTTATTTTTTTTATTTTTTTGAGATTTTCTTAGCAGAAAAAGAATAAAACAAAACTAAAATATCTTCATTTTAAAGAAGATACAAAACAAGATAATTTGAAAAAACAAAAAAGAAATATTTAAAAAAAAAAAATAACATGACATAAACTTTTAGAAAATAAAACATCTTTGAGGAACCAAAGGGAATTTTCTGTTCTTAAAATTATTTGATTTTTTCATACTTGGAAGAACCAACTAGAAAATATAGTTATGAACTATTCAACACGGGGGATCCAAGAAATTACCCATGACATTTATTCACTTATTGGAAAAGTTCAACAAGGTATTGTTTGCTTTCATCATAACACTTATTTCTTTTTTTTTATTTGTTTTCATGAATCTTCTGATTATTTACAATCTCATTTTAAAATGAAAAGAATTATATTTATAAGTAGAAAAAAGAAGGAGAAGAGGAGTTTAACATAACCAACAAAATAAGTGAATTAATTGATGAACTCAGTTATTGTATTCCTTTTACTCCATCAACACAAGACAAAGTTATTAATGCATTTAATACCCTTGATTCATGTTCTGAAGATGGTGCTGATCTTTTAGGGAATTTACTCTCTATTCAAACTATTGTTGTTGAAATTACAGGAATTTTACCACCACCCCCTCCAAGAAAGAAATCAGGGTTTTCTTCTATTAAACCCACTGAGACAAATACAAAACATCGCTCAACTGGGTTTTTAAATCGACAAGGAAAATTTAATTATGCATCTCCTTCTGTTACCCAAAGCCAGAAACCATTTTTAAGAAGAGAAAGTAGTACTCTTTCATCCTCTTCATTAATTAATTCAAGAAGTTTAACTTGTTCAGAACATTCACTCATTCAAACCAATCAATATATAGATATTATGAAATGTCTTCCTCCTGATGCAACTACAGAACAGATTGAATATATATTAAATAGAGTAAAAGAAATGTTAGAAAAAAGAAAAAAAGAGTTAGAAATTAAACTTATTAAACCTAATTACTCACAAGTATTTAAATCATCAAAACATGGAGATATTGTTTCTGTTTATCGTGAATGTCAAGCAAATGCAACCGCAAACAAAATTATTTCAGGAATGAATATCAAAGAGGCAATTAAACAATATTATGAAAGTATTGATATATTCTTTATGGAAAGAAATGGATTACCAACACAGTTAGATGTGGCAGGATTTGCTATCAGAAAAAGTTCTACTAAAATGAGAATTATTGCAGCCATGACACGAAAAACACATTTTTTAAAACAACATGAAATTGAAAATGATGATATGTGGTCGAGAATGGAAGAGTATGAAAAAGTAGCATATGTAGAACTAATAAAAGTCACAGCAACAGTCCCTGCATTAATTGAAGATATTACATGTTTTGGTGCATTAGAAAAATTTACTGAATTAGAAATTGCAGCAAATGCTTTAAAAGAGGCTTGTGTTCAATTAGTCAATTTTGTTCCACAAGTTTTTCTAAAAGCTGCTCAAGTAGTAGGAGAAAGAATGGAGCAATATTTTGTTGAAGCAACAGAAGATATGAAAGATATTTTTAATAGCTCAATTTCTAAATTAAAGGAAATTGATATTCATTCTGGAAGAACGTCTAGTGGAATTATTGCTGTTGAGAGTGCATCAAAAGCACTTCAAGCTGCAGGGTCAGAATTATTAGGTGTTGTATGGGAAATTATTCATTTTAAACCAAAAGATGAAGGAAAAATGACATTCCAACCATATGAAAAAGCTGTTTTGAGAATTGACCGTGGATATCGTTTAGAGCATATTTGTTTACTAGAATTAATAGCTATTTGTACTTCTGTAATGAATAACTTAAGATTGTACATTGCTGCATTAAAGACACTTGGAGAAAATAATGTTTCATTGACATCAAAAATTAATTGTAGTGATAGTTTGAAAGTCATTAGTATAAAAGGAAAGGTTGTTGCTGGTGGATTAATTGGACTGCTAATTGAAGGAAGAAATAATGATACTGTTAAAGATGTTATATATTCAGTACTAGCCCATTATGGTGGACATATTGGAGAAATACTAAGAAAATTACCACAAGAACATTGTGCAGTTATTACCCAAACAATCATCCAAACACTTTATAATGAGATAAATATTCCTCAGGTTTGGGAATTTCTTAATGAAGGAAACTCTCCAATGAATGAAGCACTAAAAGTAAGAATGAGTACAGCAGAAGATATTATTAAAAAAGAACGAGCACGGTGTATGTCTCCAATATATGATTTTTTTGTTCCATCGGAGCCAAAATCACCTTTAATTTTATTGGCTGAACTTGACTCAATGACTATTGCAAGGCAATTAACTGCAATTTCATTTGACCAATATTTTAAGCTTAGAACAAATGATTTTTTCTCTAAAGGAACATCAATTCAATTGATCCAAGCAAGAATAAATGATTTAAGTAATTGGACATGTAACTCAGTCTTATCCTTCACCGATTTTGAAAGTAGAGCATTCATGAAAAATCATTTTATTGAAATCTTAAAAAAATTACAAGAATTAGGAGACTTTAACTCTGCATTTGGAATATTTGATGGATTGCTTCATATCTCTATTGTTTTTGGAACAAAATACATTTCAGAGAAAGCGAATAAATTTATTGATGAGACTAGTAAATTATATGGAAATTTTAAAAGTCTTAAAGTAGCATATAAAAAACGTTCAGTTTGTATTCCATATATTGGTTCAGTGTTAGAATCAATTGAAGAAATAAAACGTGAAGAACCTTTCTTTTATCAACAGAAAGGAGAAGATGAAAAATATATAAATTTTGTTCAGTCAAAAGAGATTTATGATGTAGTAGTAGATTATTTAAAATATCAAAAAGAAGATTATTACATTGCAAAAATAGAACCGTTACATTCATATTTAACAAATTTGCCTTGTTTTGATAAGAGTGTATTAGATAAATTAAGAGAATATCATGAATAACAAAATATTATTGTTCAATTTTATTATTATATTTCCTTTTTTTAACATATTAAAAATAGATTTCAAGTTTTTCTAAGTAAAAGTTAAAAATAAAAAGAAAAAAAACTAACATTCTCTCTTATATCATGTCAGAACAGTACAAATACCTCTTAGATCATCCACCTAAACAATGTAATTATGATGAGTCATTAAAGGGATTAGTAATGGCACCATTTTCTGAAGGTGAACCTATTCCAGTAAGATTTATGTTAACTAAGATGTTTGTTATTTCTATTTATAAAAATAAAGAATAAAGAAGAAAGGAAATAAAATAAAACCCCATTTTAATATTAATTTAAATAGCAATCCATATAATTTCTCTCTTTTTGTATTTCATAGTGCTGAAAAAGACCTTAAAGATATTGAAGAGGAAATGGTGATGGTAAGTAAAATGTTTAAAGCACGTATTATCGCATTTGATTATCCAGGATATGGATTAAATAAAAATAAGAAAGATGTTTCAATGGAAAAGATGCTTGATAGTATTTTTGATGTAATGGCACATAAAGGATATAGAGAAGATAGAACTCTTCTTCTTGGATATTCTCATGGATGTGGACCAGCATTACAATATGCATCTATTTTATCTGAAAGAAAGAAAGCATCTTTATCATTAGAAACAAATGGGATTATTTTATTTTATCCAGTAGACACAATTCCATTAGGAACTGACTATCATTTTCAATCATTTTTCAATTCAGTTCAAAATGTAGTTTATTATCATGTATTAATGATGGTCCCAAAACACGATAAATTCTTTAATGCAATGAAAGAAATAGAAAAAATAAGAAAAACAGATGAAAATTATAAAAGTAGAGTAGAGATTTGTGTACATAATTTTTCTCGTTTAAAACCAACATCATTAAATAGAAAACGATTAATAGATATTCATGATAGTACATATCCTTGGTTTAAGAAAGTTGATGCTCAAATTACAAAATATAAAGTGAATAAACTTAATATCTCTATGGCAATTACTACTGTATTAAAACTTAATAAAAAAATTCCACCATTACCAACTCATAGTGATTTCTTAATCAATCAATTTTTGAATAGAAATAGATTAGATGAATTAATTCCTATTTTTGAAGAAAAGAGGTTATATTCTACAGTATTTGTTATAATGAATAATTTAGAAAATAGTTCTTTAATAGGAGAGGATCGTTCAATTGTAGATAGGTTAAATAGAATTTGTAGAGTATTTAAACCTATTATTACTAAAGACTGGAAAACTCTTAGACATGATATGCTTTGTGAAACTCTTACTAGAATAGATCAAACTACTGATATTTTAGATAAAAAAACAAAGGCTCTTCAAAGTAGTAAAAAGGTAGAAGTACCAGAAGGTACTTTTAATAACAATGGTATTGAAATGGATTCTGAATCTAGTGGTGGAGATAATTTAAGTGAACAAACATTCATTACTCTAAACGGTAAAAAGGTATTAAATCCAAAGAAAAAAACTATTGGTGGTGCTACATCAAATAAATTTGTTGTTCCTCAATGGGCAAAAGGAATTGAATGTGACTTTACAGTGTTTGTTAAACAACCAATTAATTTTTCTGATTATTTCTTATGTAAAGAATCATTACACAAAAAGCATTCAAACACTAATTAATAATTCAATTTACGTTTAATTTTATTTTTACTCTTTTTATTTGAAATTATTTTTAAATAAAGGATAAATTGGAGGAATAGGTCTAAACAGAAATTTAATCCAATTTTTGATTAATCCTTGATTATATATATATCTCTTTTTAATTCTTTCATTCGTTGTAATTCCCAGTGATATTTGATATATATGAAATATAAGTAATGTAAAAACAAGCCCAAAGCAAGGAACACAATAAATACATGTTAATGGTCTAATTATTGAGTCTTTGAAAAAATAAATAAAGAATAAATTATTTGAACAAACTCTACAAACCAGTGAGATTTCCAATTATCAAAAAACCTTGTCCAAGTTAATGGATATTGAATCCCAATAAAAAGGCTTATGAAAGATGTTATAATTAAATAAAATAAATATACAGAACAAAAAAATACTATTCCTATATATGATTTATAATTTCTTCTTCCAATACAATTTCCTAACCATGGACAATGATGATCAAATTCTTCAACACAATTATTACAGATTCTGCAATGAGAACATCTCAATGGTTTAGTTATTAAACATGTCATACAAAATTTTCTTGACGCAACAATATTATCTGGTAATATCACATCAACTCTTGAATTATTTAATTCATCATTACCATTGCCAATTCTATATTTCCTTGGAATAATTCCTGGATTTGAATAACACGCTTTGAAATAAAAGATACAAACAATAATAAACAAAAGTAAAAATGGAACAATCAACAATGGATATACTCTATAGAAATTTGGAATTCTAAAATTAAAATTTAGTTGTTCTTTATTAAAAGAACTAAAATACAAACGTTGAAATGCAATACAAAACAGTAGGAAAAAAGAACAATATCATTGAAAAAAAATTCTTATAAAACCCACCTCCAAAGACACAATGAGAATGACACCAATGTCTTGAATGTGGTGGAGTTTCATGATATAATCTATAAAATGAGTTTTCACAATCTGTATTAATTAAAATTTTTTTTTCTTCTTCGTTATATGGTGAAAGTATATCTATTGTTTCTTTGTCCATTAGTTGGTTTAATGAATAACTTAGTTTTTATGACAAAAAAAACATTTTATTTGTTTAAAAATAAAATTTTGTTTTTTGTTTAATTTTCAAAAAAAATTGTTATTAAATATTTATATTTTGTTATTATTATTATAACAGAAATAATAATATTAGAGAAAAAAGTAGTACTTCTTAAAAAAGTGATGGGAGTTGTGTTTAATGAATCATACTTATAACAAAATTCTATGTAACTATAATAAACTAAATAAATAATTATGTGAGAGAAAAATAATTATTATAACAAAAATGAACTAAATTATAATGAATGAAATTTGTGATATTGTAGATAATATTTTCTCCATAAAACTGGTACTTGCTTCTCCAAAAATGGTAAATTTAATATACTTGTTGAAGGGTGGTATGATGGGTTTACAAATCGACATTGAATTTCTTTATTATTTAATATATTCCAAAGTGATTCAGGTCTAGGATTGATTGGCTCAACACAATTAAATAAGAAATTACCAAAATAACATGAATAAGTCTGTTGAATAATTTCTATCAAAAAGGTTTCATTAAATTCAAATTCTTTTGGGAAAACTCTCATAAATTGGTAAATACAATCTATGAACTGAAGAAATATTGGAGAATATTCATTAATACTTTGAGTGGATATAAAATGGCGACACCGATCTTGAAATTTATGTCCAAAAGCAATCCAATCTTTGTCTATTAATGCTTCTAATCCTTCTATTGTTCGATAATATGGATCAATAATAATTTCAACTAAACTAACGATTTGACTTGTTCGGTCCCATCCATCAGAACAATGAATAAGTAAAGAATTTCCATTAAGAAGTTTGTTTGTTGTTAAATAAGTTCCTTTAAGTATTTTATTGATGTGGTATAACCATTTTGAACTAGTAATCATTTTCATACTATCTGTTGCACCAACATTGCAATAAGAGAGTTTCTTTGTAACAGATGTTAATTCAAGAAAACTTTCTCTCATTTTATGAATATTATCAATATCTAAAAAGATAATCTCTGAATTTTTATAATATCGGATATCTTCAAACCCCATACCTTTAATCAAATTAGCAGATGCATTTAATTTAGGTCTACAATCAATAATGCTAATTCGTTTATTTTTTGATAATTGAGCTACTTTTTCTAATAATTTTTCGTCACTAAAACATCTACTTGTTTTTAGTCCTACTAATGGTTGACTACTTCTCATAATAACACCTTTTTCTCTATTCCACCAAGTAGCTGCTGGAATTCTTCCTTTACTTCTAAATCCAATAACCTGATTAATTTCTTCTTCATTTACAATTGGAACAACAACTTTATTTGGGTATCCTTTTACATCAATCCGTACTAAATTCATTCCACTTTTATTCCATTCTAATCTTTCAAGCTCTTTGTCATAATATATAGGATTTTCATAATTCCCCCTAAAATAAAACATTTCATGAATTCTTCCACGCCCTACAGCTTTCATAATAATATCTTCTAATTCATCAGCCTTATTTCCATCGAAAAAGGCTAAACTAAATTGATGAAAATTTTTACATTTAACTAACACACAACAATAATTTCCAATAGAAGGTAATAACACTTTTTCTTTTTTAATTTCATAGAATAATGGAATAGGTATTTCAAATCCTTCTTCAGAACATACTCTTCTTGGTGAAGAAAATAATCCATCATCTTCTCGATTATCATAATCTCCTTGTTCTACTCTAAAAATTATTCTAGCTGATGTAATAATTAAAGACCCTGCAATAAATTTAAGTCCAATACATGTAACAGGTGGTCCAGCTTTATATTGTAAATGTAAATGAAGAATTCCTGAATAAATTTTTACAAGATGTTCATATGGATAACAACTCAAATTATTATTTAAAGTTTCTTCTGTATTATTACTTACAGATCCCTCTTTTTCATTAATTTGATTTATTTTAGTCAATTGTGTATTAATTTTATTATCATTATTCTTATATTCTTTTTCTTTTATTTCTTTTAATTCTTCTTCATGTAAGGCACTAGCAGATAAAATCATTTTCATTTCTTTATTCACAGCTTGAAGACTAATAAAGTCTGTCTCTTTCATCTCAAGGTCTTTTAATTTCCTATTTTCAGTTACAATCACATTGTTAATAGTTAAACAAACAGAACTGTTTAATGTAGTTTGAACACTTTCCAAGTTTGTTCCCATTATAGCCTGAACTGATAACTCAACAAATTCTCCAACATTATCCACAACATTCTTAGTTTTAAGTTTTTTTAATGCAGTGATAACATTTTTATTTTGAATTGTTTGTTTAATTTCTTGTTTTAATTGTTTCTTTTTATGTGGATTACACTCATTACAACATTCCGCAAATATGTTATGTGATACTGATGATATTGATTCAAATACTTTTTTAATTGGACTTGGAATTTTAGACTTAGATGATGGGAAACGGGCAATTAATTTTGACCACCATTCTGCTTCAATATAATTTGCCATTTGAAGAATAAATACAGTTTTAGTATCTATTGAAAGGAAGATATTAGTTGGTGATGAGTGAACATAAACACATGAATGAATAGGTAATGAAATGTCAATCACAGGAAATGAAAATTCATCAGTCGTAGGGTAAAAATAAAGGTGATAATTTTGAGATAAAACAAGATGAGATGATATGAATTGAAGATTGTCTTGTATTAAACAATCACAAAATTTCATTGACCCTTCATGCAATACTGTTACTAAACTATACACTGGTTGAAAAGATTCAAAAAAGAATTGAGATTTTTCTATTTCTCTTTGAACACATTCATTTGAGAATAATGCATTAATTAATGTTTGTAAATAATCAATCTTTTCTTTACTTTCTAATATCACTTCTTCTGACCAATCTTTTAATAAAATCGATCGAGTAGTTGTTAATTTTTGTAAAGAAATTAAATATTTAATAAATTCTTTCCATCTTCGATAAACATTCCACATTAACTCAACTGAAGTAACGGTTATTTTAACTATTACCTCATTTGTTTTCTCATTTTTTTGGCATGAATCAACTCTTACTTGAAAGTAATTTTCAATCTCTTCATTCATCTTAATTTTCCATCTTTTGGAGTTTTATTTTTTATTTTTTGTTTTTTTAATAAAAACAAATCAACTTCTCTAAGTTTGTATTTCAATAACACAAATAAATGTTACTTAATTATTTAAAGTATGTTTTACTTTTCTTTTATCCTCTTTTCTTTTAAAAATTTTTTCCATATCTTATTTTTGACGTTTTAGTTTCAATTAAAAGGAGAATAAGAAAAACACTTGAAATTATGAGCTATAATTACGTTCAACAGCAAAAAGTAAACCTAAATTAAAAATCTTTAGAAAGAAAGAGACACTAAGTAGTTATTAATATAAAAACGATGAAAAAACTATAAAAAATTAATATTATTCTTTATAATTATTAGTATATAGAAGAAAAGTCTCAAACTTAATATAGGATAATTTTTTCTTTCATCTCTCATTACTATGAATTTATAGTAATATATTAAATTAACTGGTTTATCACTTTCATCTCTCAACTTTCAGCAAATAAAAATTGCTTTATTTAGAAGTATAAACAGACGAAAACTAAAAAGGATAATTTTAGATATTTCAAAAAAAAAACATCTTGTAATTGATTAATTCAGTAAAAAGATAATGGTAACTATCAACTTATCAAAAATCGGTAAGATTGTTATTTTCGTTTGGACTATCATTTCTGGAATCTTAATGCTCATTACTGGTATTACCCATTTCTGTAAGAATAAGTATTCTAAGTATAGGTCACCAAGTAAATTCCCTGCTTTTACATCTCAAAGTGGATTGGCAATTCTATTTCAGGCATTGTTCTGTATTGTTTTTGGATTAATGTTTATTCTTCTTCCATTCTTTTCATTCCTTGGTAAAGTTAAATTCATTAAAACTATTACCATTTGTTATAACAGAGCAACACTCATTGTCTTCTATCTTGTTGGAGGACTTTTAATGTTCCCATTATGTGGATGGATGGGACTTGTCTTTGCAATTATTTTCTGGCTTTCTCTTCTTCTTATCATTGCTTCATTCTTCATCACTAAGAATATTTCTACATTCAAAAGTGAAAGTTCTTCTGATAAAAATTAATTTATTTCTTAATCCGTATTTTTTTATAATTGTTTTTAAGTAAAATAAACTATAAATCACTAAGTTAATTTTTACAACATGAAACCAACTTCCATCTATATCAATTCAAATGAAGAAATTAAAACTAGAACATATGATGAAAGTAAATGTATTAAACTTATTCAAAAATATAACTTATTAATTGAATGCTATAGTGATAATAAAAGTCTTATTTTTCCAGGAACTTTGAGTTGTGAAATTGGAAGATTAGGAATGATGTTAGTTGGTTCATTTAAAGAACAACACTTTACTGAAATTAAAATGATGAAACAACACTTTATTGAATTAGATAAAAGTATGAAAATAAATCATTATTCTTATAGTGATGAACGTACAATAAGAATGATGTTGGGTATTTATTGTTCAATTCAAAAATTAATTGATTCATATAAAACAGAATCTCTAGAAACACAAAGTAGAAATAAAAAGTTAGTAGTTGATTTTAATGAAGACCATTATTATACTTTTCAATATTTAATTGGACTCTATGAACAATGCAGACTAAAATTAAAAACAAATAACAAATCATTAAAAGACTTAGACCATTACCTTCATCAAATTCAAATGGAGTTTAGGTTTTCTGATAATGAAATTTATGAATCATCAAATTCATTTGAAAGGTTTATTAAAAGTTTATGTGATGGAGTTTATGGAAACAATGATGAAAAAAATAACTTTCTCGCAACCCAACGAATTTTAGATTATTGTAATATTAATTTTCCTTCTTTACAAAATATTTGTTTAGTTTCAAAAGAAGACAAAACCCCATCAATCAGTGATGATAAAAAATATAATTTTGATTGGATGAATGAAGTAATGGAATCTTTTCATTCTAAGTATTATGAAAATATTGTATCTATTATATCGTATTATGACCTTATTAGTGTAAATGATTTTGATTTATTTTTAAATCTTCATACGAACAATAAGAATATTATTTTACTTCATGAATGGATTTCACATATTCAACAAATTCAATTCACAATAGAGATGATTGTTTGTTCTTATGGAAAGAATTCATTTAAAAGAATGCCATATTACGTTAAATCAATGATTGAAGTTTCTAATTGTTTCTCATGTATTTTAGCAGCTGTAACAATCAATATGATTATTAGAATTTCTTCAGAACGTACTATTTCACCTTCAATTAAATTATATAATTTATCACTTGCTTTAGTATTACAAGAAATTGTAAAGATTCTAATCCCTTTCACTTCAAATTTTAAAATGCCAAATAAGAAAATTGATGAAGTTATCAGCCAAAGTCTTCGTCCTCTTTCAATGCCTAAATGTAATCCACCATTATACTCATTTGAAAGAATTCGTTTAGAAGAATATAAATCAATAATTAAGTCATATCTGGATCAAAAAACATCATTAACACCAATGAATGTTATGAAAATACAAAGCTATGCTATTTATCTCAGAGTTCAATATGGATTTGATCCTTCAACTATTTCTTTGTTATCAGCCTTAGATGAAATAACTACTTCTTATGAATATTTTGGATTTTTACCTTCAATTCTTACTTTTATGCAAGGTGTCCTTCCTCTCATAAACCAATCTCCAGCTTGTTGTCTTGGTTATGCCCCTTCATGTCTTGGAATTTATGAACCTGAAAAGGTAATTCTCAACCGAACGATTTCTAATCTCACAGTATCAGATGGATTTAATATCTCAATTTTATTAAATAACATCCATTTAGCCAATACCCTATCACTTGTCTATTCTCATTGTTTCCATTATTGTGAATTTTCTTCAATTGAATTAATGAATGGTATTAAAAAACTAAATGAAAATTCTTTTAAAACTCTTAACATTAAAGATATGTATGGTATTTCAGTAGAAAAGCATTTCATGAATGTACTTGTTCATAGAGTAATTGACTTCTATGGGATGCATTTTATGGAAAATGCATTGTTTCCTCTATACAGTCACTCTTTAATTTCTTCTCTGAATATTTTATTCCATTCCCACCAGAAACATTTCAAATTATCTGGATTACTTCCAATATGCTATTTTTTAGAAAAGAAAGACTGTACACAAGAAGAGTTATTAAAATTAATAAATACTCTAAAGACTATTTTCTGTGAAGATTGTCAAATAAAACAAACAGAGATTGAATCTTCATATTTTGACAAAAAGTTGTCGAAAGCATATCTCAAATCAATTATTACTATAATTCAATAACATTCACTTTCAAGTTCTTGTGAGATAAAAGATATGCATCAAAACTATTCAATAAAAAAAATTTATAAGAAAAAACTATTCTTAAAATTATAAAAACATAAAAAGAAAAGTTTAAAAGAAAAAACCTAAAAATTATCAGAAAAGGTGAATGTTTAGAAAGTTTACACGAGAAGATTTTGGACCTTTAAAACAAGTTAAAGCATCACAAACAAAACATATTAAACAAAGTATTTCAACTCAATACCCAGGACTTCCTATTGATGAGTTATTCCCCAAAAATATTCCATTATTTACTGCTAATTCAAAAATTGATCATTCAACAGCAATTTTATCAAATAATAAAGTTTATTTCTTCCAACAAAAAGAAAATTTTATTCCAACACTTCAACTTGCTATGACTTGTTTGTTTATAATATTTTTGTTAATTATAATTAAGTCCCAACAAAATAATTGTATTAAATTAGTTTATTATTAATTATAATATATATATTTATAGTTTAGACCCTGAAATGATGAAACAAGTTCAAGTTGATAAAGGAGCAATTAAACACGTTTTAAGTGGAAGCAATATTATGGCTCCAGGATTAACTTCTGCTGGAGGAAAGTTACCAGATGATATTGTTGCAGGGAATTATGTATTAATTATGGGAGAAGGAGTTCAATCTCCTCTTGCCATTGGATTAATGAAAGCATCTGCTGTTGATATTAAAAAACAAAATTCAGGAGTCGTTATTGATTTAATTCAATACGCAGGTGATGGAATATGGACTGATTGTCTTGAACATTAATTTTAATTGAATTAGTTTTAGAATAATCTATATTAAAATAGAATAGATTCCAAATTGTTAATTAATAGAAATAATAAGTTCTTTGTATTAAAAAATTAATAAAGAGTTAAAATTATAATTTACAGAGTAAAAAAAATAATATTTGTTTAAGGAAAGAGAGATTAATTAAGCAACATATTGAATATCTTGTCCATCTCTCATTAAGAAATTTTGATCAATCAATATTTCAATCACTCTTCTGATGACATTCACATGAGCTTTAAAAGTTTTTTGTACAGCAGTAATTGTTTGTTGAATTAGTTGTTGACAACTCATAACTTTTGAGTGTTTCATAATTCTAACAATTGTACATTTTAAGAGATTTTCTCTTAATTTAAGTATTTCATCTTCATCATTATCATCTTTTTTTATTTGTTCTTGTTGGGTTTGGTTAATCAACTTTTTTAATACCATCATTACTGAAATTTTTCTTACTTTAAGATTAAAGTTTGTATTAACAGAAACTTGAGTTTCATTTTCAATAAGACTAGTATTTTGACAAAGGATTTGTTTATGAATAATTCCACTGATAGCATTTTTTATAAAAGAAGAAGGAAGATTTAAATCTAGAGCGATTTCTGAAATTTTTAATATGTTATGAGTATTAAATAATAATAAAATCATCATTTGAGGTAATGTTGCAGTTATAAAATACTTTTGTTCATATTTAATTATCCCACTTGACTTTTCAAGACACATTGTCAATTTTTGAGTTGGTTTCTTTTTAATATAAAATCTTGTAAAAGATTCAAATCTTTCAGTTGTCATTGAGTCAATTTTCATTTGATATTTATCTTTTAAATATACATTTAATCCACCGAAAACAAGACAATTAAAATCATTTGATTTTACTTCTTGTGAATATTGTTGACTATAACCAATAGATTGATTATATTCTGTTTGAATTTTAATCATTTTCATTACTCCAAGACGGTCAAAATTTCTCATATGTTTCATTAATATTTCTTCATTTTCTTCATTACTATTCATTAAAATTAATCGTTCAATAAAGTTTTTACAAATGAAATGACAGAAAATATCTTTGTTAACAATAAATTCACCAATTTTAAAAACAGTTTCTATTGTATTATTAACTGAGTCACTATCTACACACACCATACTATTTTTTCTAATAATTAAATTAATATAACGAGAGAATAAAGTAGGAATAATGATATTATCTTTATCGTTTATATAATTTGATTGTTCTATAAGTACTTCTTTAAATAAATTTTCCATTTTAGCTTTTCCTTTACAACTAAAACAATGAAAGAATTGTTTCCAAAGATTAAATATTTCAATAATTAATTCAACAGATTCTTTAATATTATCTAAACTTATTTTACCAATAATCATATTTAATAAAAGACTTTTAATACTTTTAACAGTATTATTTAATACTGTTTCTTCGTTATTTTCAATAAAAAGTTCATCTATTCTTTTAAGTAATGAAAAGTTTTTATCTCTGACAATTTCTTCAATACTACTATTAACTTTATTTTCTTGTTTTTTAATAATTTTTAATAAATTTGTTAATAATATTTCTTCAGTATTATTATCAATTCTTCCTCTTTTTATTCTATCTTTTTCTTCACAATAAAAACATCCAAATAATTCAAGATATTTTTTTAATCCATTTTGATAATATGCATCACTAATTTCTTTATATTCATCAATTGATTCAATTATAAGAGTATCATAAAACTCTTTTGACATTTTTTTATATTCTTGTAATGATGGAAGATATTCTTTATAAAATTCTAAAACATCACATACAACTGAAACATCAACACTTTCTCCTTTTCTTGATAACCTCCATACTTCTACTAATTTGTCTACTATATCCATTTTATCTTTAATACCTTTAATAAATTCTATTCGTTTTCTTTTAATTAATGTTGTAACTTGTTCATTTATTCCAACACTTTCATCATATGAATTAAATACTCTTATAATCTCTGGTGATACAACTTTTATTAAATCAAGTGTATCTCTTAATGATGAAACAAATTTATCTAATGACTTTTGCATTACAAACTCACTAAAATAATTAAATAATTTCATTATTCGTTCTTCAATTTTTTGTTTAATATAATTATTTAATTCTTCATTAACTCCTGTGTCTAATTTAATATATAAATCAAAGATTTCTGAATGATATATAATTGCTTCTTTCATTCCAAATCCTTTCCTTTGTTCTATTTTTTGAAAAAATGGTTCAAGTACTTCAAATGATTTATCAATTATTTGATATTTATCTTCATTTATTTTTTGTTTTATTAAATTTTCTTTATTATTATCATTATTTTCTTTTAATTCATTTTCGTTTATATGTATTTTACTTTTCTTTGGTGGCATTTATTTATTTTTTTTTAAGTTCTTTAAATTAAATTCAATAAAAAAGGTATTAAAAACACTTTTCTGTTATCTCATTGTTTTTAAAATATTTAATTCAACTTGAATTATCCTTTTGTTTAGAAGTCTCACTTGTTTCTTTGTCTCCTAAAAAATTAGTAAATTGAATTAAACAACGTTAATATTGGTTTGGTTTTATTTTCTATTCTCTATTTCTTAGAAAAAAAATATTATATTTATTTCATTCTTAAACTAACAAAACTATTCCTGTTTTACTTGTATTGTTTATAGAATGTTACTACATATCCTGACCACTTGTTTAGTTAATGTATATATTCAGATCTTAACAATTTTTTAGTTCTAATAAAAATGGATGAAATTTTTCTTCATATTGAGAAATGATTCTTTCATTTTCTTCATTATCTTCTACTTAATATTTATATGTATTTTTTATCACACGAAAATTAGATAATTTTTCTTCTAATATATTATCATAATTGAAAATATAAAATATTAAATCTTTTATAGTTTTGATAATACTTGTTTTTAATGTATTAATGGGAAAGTCTTATTGGAATTTTAGTATCTTTATTCTTCTTATAGACTCTTTGTGTATTATTCTATTTATTAATAATATAATATGTATTATTTCTACATATATTATTTCTCTATTATGTCTTATTTTCTCTTATATTTATTTTGTCATTATAATTTAATTCGAAACTTGAAAATAATACGTCAGATACTTTATATAAACATTAAAATGAAATAAGTTATTGAACCATCAATTACTATTTAATTATGATACTTGACGTGGTGAGAAAATGTCTTATTGAACACTTCAAGGATAGCAGTGATTATTATTTGTAATGATAGAATATTAATTATTATAATAGAAGAATAAGTATTATGTATTTATTAGAATTCAAGTATATATGATAATTGAGGTATTATCAAAGAAAAAAAGATGTATATGTTTTAGTTGATGATAAATGAAATTATGAATTAATAATATGATGGTAGGAAAATATTCAGCATAAAATAAGACAATAAGGAATAGGAGAAATTTAATACACATTAAAATTCAAATAAAGAAATGATAGTAACTTAAATGAAGAATTAATAAATTGATGAAATTTAAAAAAAAACATAAAATGAATGGAAATAAAAGAATGATAGAAAATAAATCAAATAACAATTAATATTTTATTATTTAAATAAAAAATTAAAAAAATAACCAAAAATAATTCTTATTTATTTTGTTTTTCAAAATAGTCAAAATATTTTATTCATCATCACTACCAATAGACTCATATTCCTTTTTACCAAACTTACTTTTAATTTTACTGAAAAGTGATACTGACTCTTTCTTAAATTTCTTTGGTTTAGATGCAGGTACAGGAATAAAGAAGGAAATTTGTCCAACAACAATGGATAGTATAGTAGAAGCAATTGATAATAACCAACCTTGCCATGAAAGACCA